TCAGAAAGAATGACGTTTGGCACCCGTAGACTTGCAAGTCCCACTGTAGCTAGCAGCAAGGTGTAGGATAGTCAATCCAGTATAAATCTATACGCAAACTCAACGCTCCCCATTTAAGGAGATTCTGGATACAAAATAAGCCATGACAGGTGATGTCATGCCCAGTTACATGGCTCACATATCTGTAATAGTATTCTTGTATATGTATTGAATGTACTAGTTGTATTGTGTGTTCTCTCTCTGTCTAGTATGTATGTATGTTCTCTCTGTCTTTCACAATAGTATGTTCCCTAGTATAATGTATAGTATGTACTAGCTGTATTGTAATGTATAGTATGTACTAGCTGTATTGTGTGTTCTCTCTATGTCTAGTATGTATGTATGTTCTCTCTGTCTTTCACAATAGTATGTTCCCTAGTATAATGTATAGTATGTAGTAGCTGTATTGTATTGTATCAACCGACTCTTTGTATGTTTCATTGTCCTAGTAATAGTATTAGTATCTCCCTAAACTATACCTATTATAGTTTACTAGTGATGTAGTTTGTATGTATGAACATGTTTGTATACCCTTGCTACCCAAAGGTATTGAATTGAAAGAAGGAACCTCTATATCTATATACATATACATAATATATAACTAGGATTCAAACGACCTTCGGACAAATAATCTGTATACGCTAAGTCCACAACCAAACAAGGAACAGGAAGTAAGGTGAGCTATCAGTCCTAAGTCCTTTAGATCCTACTTATATAACTATATCTATATAGATACACTTTTAATAGAATATAAGTTTAAAAGAGTTCAATAAAAGTATTTGACATGTAAAAGAGTTTGATAACACAATTAGAAAAGTAAGAAATCCACTTGTTTGGTAGTTATTAATTACATGTGATTGATATAATAACTATAATAGTTCAACTTGTATTCCCCCCTATAAAAGCATTTAAAATCATTTAAAAGGTTAATTAAGGGGTATGAACTCACCTGTAGTGAGTGGTTTGGATGAACGGATTGATATAGGATGCTAAGTGTCAAGTGAGGACTTGAACACACAGAAGGATCCTAGTTAACATATAATAACACATATATGTATCCAATTAGTCATTTAACAACTAATTAACCAAGTTAAGACAACCTAAGACATGTAAAACACTTGATTTAAGTGTTATAAATGCTAAGGATTGCATCTAAGGGTTGTAGGACTTGGCTATTGATTTTAGGGTCCAAGGGTAAACTCTTTTGGAGTTTACGGTTTTGGGACCAACTCTTATTGAGTTTACAGTCGTAAACCCATGAGTTTACGGCCGTAAACTCATAGTACTTTTACCATTTTGTGTTTTGAAGCTTTAAAGGTCATAAGAAGCATTCCTACTTCATGTCTAAGCATTTGGAAGTGATTAGGGCACCATTTCACTCCTTTGTGGAGTTTACGGTCCATGGACCATTTCTCCTTGGGTTTATAGCCGTAAACCCAAATGGTTTATGGTATTTTTGATGTTTAATGTCCTAAGCACATCAAGGATAGATCTAGACTAGTATCCCAGGCTTGGTAAGGGACTAGGGCACACTTTGGCCTCTTCATTAGGGTTTACGGTCCAAGAACATCTTGGACCGTAAACACCTTTGATCTTGTGTTTACTTGTGTTTTCTAGTTGATTAAGATGTGAAACAAGCCTTATAACACACTAGGGTAAGAGTACTTACAATAAGGAAGCTTGAAAAGGTGTTACAAGTCCAAGAACACTAGTGTGTGTTCTTGGTGAAACTAAGAACACTTGAAGATCTACACAAATGGAATGATTTCATGGATGAAATCATGTAAGATCACTAGGTTATGTAAGATATCAACTAATTAGGGTAAGAAACACTTACAAAGTTGAAGATCGAGAAGGAAAATCGGATGCTACTTGAGAGGATTTGAGTTCTAGTTCTCGAAATGGTGAAAAACTGGTAAAAATGACTAAGTTTCACTTTTGTATCCTCTTGGGGTTTACGGCCATAAACACCTTGTTTAGGCCGTAAAGTCCAAACTCTTGGAGTTTTGGGACATCATTGTTGCGCAATAAACCCTAGGGCATCCTCTCCCCTGTTATCTCTTGAAGTACTAACTTTAAAACACTCAAACTTACTCCAAAAAGCTTGAAAGTTAGCAGAAACAGTTTTGACTTCTATTGAAGTGACGGGTTGTACAGAATAGAAATTTTGGGTTGTCACAAAAGAAGACTAGTAACCTGCTTCACACTCAATTGATTGTCTAGCCATAATACACAAGTTCCATATAGACTTATCGTCACCTTCATCCCCAGATGACCAATACCTATCAACATTTCTTGAAACCGTAGTGACAATTGCCTTTTCACTTCCTGCAAGTGATGAGTTGAAAACTCTAATGATCGATTAGATTCATACAAGTAAAAGCAATCAATAAATAGCATTGTGACATCCCAGATTTCAGGAGCCTTTGAAGAAGTTAGAGTTGGGGTGCAAGCTTTAGATCTGAGCTTTTCAGAGGTTGGAGCATCACTTGGAGATAATAAGCTCAAAGCTTTCTTAACCTTTTTGGATTTGTGCATTATGGGCCATTTCTAGGGTTTTTGTCCCAAAGGTGGAGACTTTTTGTGTAAAGGAGCTCCATAAGACATTGATCTGCCCATATTCAGTGTATAAAGAGTTATAGATCCATAAAAATCCAATCTTGGACGTTAGGAGTGAGCCATGCATGAGATATGGGCTCTTTAGTGAAGGAAGTGGTGTGTTTTGGATGTTGATGACCATTACAGCCATGCAAAGGCGTAAAGTCTTCGAATTTATGGATTAGGAGGCTGTAGGGGGTCCATATCTGTATTTTGAGCCAAGGTCTTAACTGATTAAGACCATGAGTGAGATAACGGTGAAACTGGGACGTACGTTAAGCGTAAATCCCAGTACGCGGGGCGTAGGGCTCAATCAGCCCGATATCAGCATAGTGGTCGAGTACGCCCAACGTTGGAGTCTGGTACGCGTCGCGTACTCCTTAGGGTTGACTTATGTTGGCTTTTAGGGTTTAGTCGACAAATGGACTTTTGGACCATTGGAGGGGTAGAATGGTCTTTTACCCTTCTGAGAGAGTATAGGAAGGGATTAGCCTAGCCTTTGAGAGCTTTTATTAAGTAGATATATTTTTTGTATGTGATTAGGCGGAGACTAGATCAGTGTTTCGAGTTCAAGATCATTCGAGTTACCCGAGGTGAGTCTTCTCACTATACATTACCTAGAGTGGTATCCATGTGTAGACCGGAGGGTCTTATGTGTTATGTGTTTACTTGAGATTATGTGTATTGTGATTTATGTATGCTATGTGATATTTAGACCGGACTGGAGGGTCCGACGATTTAACCGGGCCAGAGGGTCCAGCGAGCTAGACCGGACCGGAGGGTCCAACGAGCTACGGGACTGGAGGGTCCCGCTGAGACACATTGACCAGAGGGTCGTACAGAGTTATAGACTCGAGTGGGTAATATGTGTTATATGTGGTATTTTGGGGAACTCACTAAGCATTTGTGCTTACCGTGTTATGTGTTATATGTTTCAGGTACCCTAGAGGATCGCGGGAAGGCACCGGCGTGATTGTACACACACTCTTGATATGGAGCTATGATTGTGGATCCTGTATTTGAATAATTGTATTGAAAACTTGTTGGTTGTTTTTGAGAATCAATGATGAGACATATGTTTTATGAGTTTTAAAAATTGAAAATTTTGTTTTGAAAAATCTTGTCGTTACAAGAATATGAATCAAGAATATGTCGAATGATTATAAGTCATAGCCTCAGAAGAGCTCAATTAAGAACTTCTACTGTAGAGGCTATGTAGGGTTTACAATGACACGATTAACTAATATACGATGCATGCATGCACCTTAAATAGTAAAAAACTAATCATTAATCACGGGTGGACATGCCCACCCCGAATATACAAAACACTAAGTAAAGGCCCAAAAGACGCAACACTAAAATAATCAACAATCTCCCTCATTGCGTCGATTGAGGCGAGAGTCCTCCACTGCTGATTTCGCTTCTGCAATTCAAACACTTTTTGAATTACGCCGAGCAGAACCTTGCGAGCTTGGATATACCATTGAATCATAGCCGAAAAGCATTTCTTGTCACCTTTGTTGTTTCCTTTGTGCTTATTTACGAAGTCCAAGACATAATCCAGGCACGAAGTGGTGAACAAGTTCTTATCAAAAAGTAAGAAGCAAGCCTTGTGAAAGTTTGCATCTGTTCGTTCCTTCAATTGAAATGCCACACACCACCCGTTCTTTTATATCTTACCATGTTTCATTTTTTCAAAACCTTCAGGGACTTCTTTGGGGAGTACACTTTGTTTCCTTCGCAACACAGCAACAACCTCAACATCCATTCTCCCAACCTCTTGAATGTAGGTGATTATCATCTGCTTGAGGTGAGCGACAACGGGATCATATTTTTGTCCATTTCTCAGCAACAAGTCATAACGCACGATCCAGTCATAAGGGTTAAGGAATGTAAATCAGTGAGGGTGAATTCGTAGACATGACTAGACGAACCTCTCGCAACCTTAAACTTCTCATTTGCGAAGCTATCAGTTTCATCTAGACCAATGAATTTCACAGTTGTAATCTTGTTTGCACTCCACGTTTCATATTGTGGCTTCATATGCTTGAGATAGAACGAGAAAAGTAAGTGGTCTGCCCCGCTGTCTGTTGCTGGGACATTCACAACTTTCAAAAAGCTTCAAAACCTGAAGGCTTTTGGAGTGATCGGAAGGTCCAACTGCCAATATTGTGTATTCTTAAGATCGAATGACACATCTGGTTCCAACCAATATTGACTTGGCATATCAACAGCTTCACTTAGGATTCAATTTAAGGTCCATACTGGTAACAAGTGCTTTCGGCTTTCCAGCGTGGCCTGAGCTTCACTTTCGCTTCAGCCTCACGAATGATTCTTTGATGCTTATCTAACTGAGCTTCACGTTAATTTCTTCTTTTCATCTCGTGTTCATAAAGCTCTTCATATTCACTATTGTAAACTATTGGTTCTTCATTGAACAACTTCACTTTGCCTTTAGAATCCGAAGCTACATTACCATTCAGATCTTTATCAGACTTGGGCTTGGGGTTTTCCTTCTGAGTTAACTTCACATTTTCTCCCCCTTGTTTTGGAATTGATCCCGAATCCGAAACACCCTGAATTTGGTTCAACAATGCGAACACTGGCCGTAGCTTTTCAGATAAATGCTTCCTGACAGAGATCGTGATCATTGAATCACGAGTCTCAATGATGTCGGAGAGCCATCCCTTTGCATCTGCAAAATAAATCTTTATAACAACTTTTTCTAACAGAAGTTTGGTGATTTGTTTTTCTGCCTGCTCGAGCTTGACAACGAGAGCTTTCTCGTTTGATGTTGTCGCTGCGAGCTGATCCTTAAGACTGTTGTCAGAAGCCAAGTCATCTTGAAGCTTTTGAATTGAAGATGAAATGGAGGAGTTTAGCTCAACATTGTTATTTTGAATACCATTGCGAACCGCTTCAAGTTTCGTTTTCTCCGTTTTGAGAGTTGATCCCAGGCTAGAGATAACTTCATTTGCCTTCGCTGTGTTGGACTCAAAGGAGCTCTGAAATTTCTCCATGAACACACGAGTATCAGAAATTAGTTTATCTACTTTTTCGGTCGTTTTGTTGCACACAAAAGCAGAAGCATCTACCGCCTTGGTCGTCTTGGCAAGGTTGGCAGAGTGCTCTTTCATAAGGGTCTCGAGGAGGGACTTCATCGTTTGTTGTGAATAATCATCACAGGATGATACTTTAGAAGCTTGGAGAAACGAATCCAGTTTGTCATTAATCTCCTTGAGTTGCCCTATTGTAACGGGAGCTTCATCATCACTTTCAGTCTGAATGTTGAATGGGCTGTAGGTAAATCCTACGAAGTCGTCTTCGTCATCATCACCATAGATCGTATCTGGATCATCCTGGCAGAAAGGAGAGACAGGTGGAGTGGTATGACCAACTGTCAATCCTGAAGCACCTACAAACTCCAGTACTGCCTATGTTATGTAAGGATTCCGAAGACTGATTCAGGTCTAGAGATATCAGAGGCGGAAGTTGCATGGAATGAAGACATTTACTAGTGATTGTCTTGGACTCAGGAATAAAATATTGATATTTCTCTGAGGTCTCATGAAGGGATGATAATGGTGAGACAGGTGTATCTGAATAACTGTGTTTCAGAATATCCCCCATGAATGTTAGGTTTTGAAGTTCCTTCAAGGGACTAGAAATTGGATTTGGAAACTCTCTTCCGAGACCAGGTGCTTTGGACAAGGGATGATGAAAATTGTGAGTCATTCTTTCATTAGCTTCAAGAACATCAATCAAATTATGCAAAACATCAATTTTTGCATTAAGACATTTACTATCAGTAACCAAGATATTTCTTTCACTAAGATTAATTTCACATTTGTCATTCAAAATGGTACATTCTGACTTAGCCATTACAAGTTCTTTCTCTAATGATTCAATCTTAAGCTTTCAGTCTTCAAAACGTAGTCTAAGTCTAGTCAATTCACTATCCAACTTCTCACTAACTTCTATGGCAGATTCATAAGCTTTATAGATAACTGTCATCTCTGATTGAATTTGAGTTAGGTAAGGTTCACAAATAGATAAATCAAAATTATTATCATTAATCATAGATATTACTTGTTGGATGATGTTTCGGCCAGGTGGATCATTTGTAGCCATGTAGCAAAATTTTGGCCCAACATCGTCATCATCAGCTTCGGAAAAAGAAGACTAGTAACCCGCTTCACACTCAATTTATTGTCTAGCCATAAGACATAAGTTCCCTATAGACTTATTATCACCTTCATCCCCAGGTGACCAATACCTATCAACATTTCTTGAAACCGTAGTGACAATTTCCTTTTCGCTTCCTGCAAGTGATGAGTTGAAAACTCTAATGATTGATTAGATTCTTACAAGTAAAAGAAATCAATAAATAGAATATGAATCAAGAATATGTCGAATGATTATAAGTCACAGCCTTAGAAGAGCTCGATTAAGAACTTCTACCGTAGAGGCTATGTAGGGTTTACAATGACACGATTAACTAATACACGATGCATGCATGCACCTTAAATAGTAAAACCCTAATCATTAATTACGGGTGGACATGCCCACCCTGAATATACAAAACACTAAGTAAAGGCCCAAAAGACGCAACACTAAAATAATCAACAATCTCCCCCTTTACGTCGATTGAGGCGAGAGTCCTCCACTGCTGAGTTCGCTTCTGCACTTCAAACACTTTTTGAATTACGCCCAGCAGAACCTTGCGAACTTGGATATACCATTGAATCATATCCGAGAAGCATTTTTTTCACCTTTGTTGTTTCCTTTGTGCTTATATACGAAGTCCAAGACATACTCCAGGCACGAAGTGGTGAACAATTGCTTATCAAAAAGTAAGAAGCAAGCCTTGTGAAACTTTGCATCTGTTCGTTCCTTCAATTGAAATGCCACACACCACCCGTTCTTTTGTATCTTCCCAAGTTTCGTATTGTCAAAACCTTCAGGGACTTCTTTGGGGAGTACACTTGGTTTCCTTCGTAACACAGCAACAACCTCGACATCCATTCTCCCAACCTCTTGAATGTAGGAGATTATCATCTGGTTGAGGTGAGAGACAACGGGCTCATATTTATGTCCATCTCTCAGCAACAAGTCATAAAGCACAATCCAGTCATAAAGGTTAAGGAATTGAAAATCAGTGAGGGTGAATTCGTAGACTTGACTAGATGAACCTCTTGCAACCTTAAACTTCGCATTTGGGAAGCTATCAGTTTCATGTGGACCATTGACTTTCACATCTGTAATCTTGTTTGCACTCCACGTTTCGTATTCTAGCTTCATATGCTTGAGATAGAACGAGAAACGTAATTGGTATGCCCCGCTGTCTGTTGTTGGGACATTCACAATTTTCATCAAGCTGTGAAACCTGAAGGCTTTTGGAGAGATCGGAAGGTCCAGCTGCCAATCTTGTGTATTCTGAAGATTGAATGACACATCTGGTTCCAACCAATATTGACTTGGCATATCAACAGCTTCACTCAAAATTCGCTTCAAGGTCCACACTGGAAACAAGTGCTTTCGGCTTTCCAGCATGGCCTGAGCTTCACGTTCAACTTTTTCTTTCGCTTCAGTCGCACGAATGATTCTTTGACGCTCATCGAACTGAGCTTCACGTTCATTTCTTCTTTTCAGCTCGTGTTCATGAAGCTCTTCATCTTCACTACTGTAAACTATTGCTTCTTCATTGAACAACTTCACTTTGCCTTTAGAATCCGCAGCTACATTACCCTTCGGATCTTTGTCAGACTTGGGCTTGGGGTTTTCCTTCTCAGTTAACTTCACATTTTGTCCCCCTTGTTTCGGAATTGATCCCGACTTTGAAACACCCTGAATTTGGTTCAGCATTGCGAACACTGGCCGCAGCTTTTCAGATAAATGCTTCCTGACAGAGATCGTGATCATTGAATCACGAGTCTTAATGATGTCGGAGAGCAATCCCTTTGCATTTGCAACACAGCTCTTTATAACAGATTTTTCTGACAGAAGTTCGGTGATTTGTTTTTCAGCCTGCTCGAGCTTGACAACGAGAGCTTTCTCGTTCGCTGTTGTCGCTGCGAGCTTATCCTTAAGACTGTTGTCAGAAGCCAAGTCATCTTGAAGCTTTTGAATTGAAGATGAAATGGAGGAGTTTAGCTCATCGTTGTTATTTTGAATACCATTGCGAACCGCTTCAAGTTTCGTTTTCTCCGTTTTAAAAGTTGATCCCAGGCTAGAGATAACTTCATTTGCCTTCGTTGTGTTGGACTCAAAGGTGCTCTAAAACTTCTCCATGAACACACGAGTATTAGAAATTAGTTTATCTACTTTTTCGGTCGTTTTGTTGCACACAAAAGCAGAAGCATCTACCGCGTTGGTCGTCTTGGCAAGGTTGGCGGAGTGCTCTTTCATAAGGGTCTCGAGGAGCGACTTCATCGTTTGTTGTGAATAATCATCACTGGATGATACTTTAGAAGCTTGGATAAACGAATCCAGTTTATCATTAATCTCCTTGAGTTGCCCTTTTGTGACGGGAGCTTCATCATCACTTTCAGTCCGAATATTGAATGGACTGTAGGTGAATCCTACAATGTCGTCTTCGTCATCATCACCATAGATCGTATCTGGATCATCCTGGCAGAAAGGAGAGACAGGTGGAGTGGTATGACCAATTGTGAATCCTGAAGCACCTAAAAACTCCAGTACTGCCTATGTTATGTAAGGATTTTGAAGACTGATTCAGGTCTAGAGATATCAGAGGTGGAAGTTGCATGGAATGAAGACATTTAATAGTGATTGGTTTGAACTCAGGAATCAAATATTGATATTTCTCTGAGGTCTCATGAAGGGACGACAATGGTGAGACAGGTGTATCCGAATAACTGTGTTTCAGAATATCTCCCATGAACATTAGGTTTTGAAGTTCCTTCAGGGGACTAGCAATTGGATTTGGAAACTCTCTTCCGAGACCAGGTGCTTTCGACAAGGGATGACGAAAATTATGAGTCATTCTTTCATTAGCTTCAAGAACATCAATCAAATTATGCAAAACATCAATTTTTGCATTAAGACATTTACTATCAGTAACCAAGATATTTCTTTCACTAAGATTAATTTCACATTTGTCATTCAAAATGGTACATTCACACTTAGCCATTACAAGTTCTTTCTCAAATTATTCAATCTTAAGCTTTCAGTCTTCAAAACGTAGTCTAAGTCTAGTTAATTCACTATCCAACTTCTCACTAACTTCTATGGCAGATTCATAAGCTTTATAGATAATTGTCATATCTGATTGAATTTGAGTTAGATAAGGTTCACAAATAGATAAATCAAAATTATTATCATTAATCATAGATATTACTTGTTGGATGATGCTTCGGCCAGGTGGATCATTTGTAGCCATGTAGCAAAAGTTTGGCTCAACATCGTCATCATCAGCTTCCGAAAAAGAAGACTAGTAAACCGCTCCACACTCAATTGATTGTCTAGCCATAAGACACAAGTTCCCTATAGAGTTATCATCACCTTCATCCCCAGATGACCAATACCTATCAACACTTCTTGAAACCTTAGTGACAATTTCCTTTTAACTTCCTGTAAGTGATGAGTTGAAAACTCTAATGATCGATTAGATTCTTACAAGTAAAAGCAATCAATAAATAGAATATGAATCAAGAATATGTCGAATGATTATAAGTCACACCCTCAGAAGAGCTCGATTAAGAACTTCTACCGTAGAGGCTATGTAGGGTTTACAATGACACGATTAACTAATACACGATGCATGCATGCACCTTAAATAGTAAAACCCTAATCATTAATCAAGGGTGGACATGCCCACCCCGAATAAACAAAACACTAAGTAAAGGCCCAAAATACGCAAAACAAAAATAATCAACAATCTCCCGCCTTTGCGTCGATTGAGGCGAGAGTCCTCCACTGCTGAGTTCGCTTCTGCACTTCAAACACTTTTTGAATTACGCCCAGCAGAACCTTGCGAACTTGGATATACCATTGAATCATATCCGAAAAGCATTTTTTCACCTTTGTTGTTTCCTTTATGCTTAATTACGAAGTCAAGGACACACTCCAGGCACGAAGTGGTGAACAAGTGCTTATCAAAAAGTAAGAAGCAAACCTTGTGAAAGTTTTCATCTGTTCGTTCCTTCGATTGAAATGCCACACACCACCCGTTCTTTTGTATCTTCCCAAGTTTCATTTTGTCAAAACCTTCAGGGACTTCTTTGGGGAGTACACTTGGTTTGCTTCGCAACACATCAACAACATCAACATCCATTCTCCCAACCTCTTGAATGTAGGAGATTATCATCTGCTTGAGGTGAGCGACAACGGGCTCATATTTCTGCCCATCTCTCAGCAACAATTCATAGCGCACGATCCAGTCATAAGGGTTAAGGAATGGAAAATCAGCGAGGGTGAATTCGTAGACTTGACTAGACGAACCTCTCGCAACCTTAAACTTTGCATTTAGGAAGCTATCAGTTTCATGTGGACCAGTGACTTTCACATCTGTAATCTTGTTTGCACTCCATGTTTCGTATTCTGGCTTCATATGCTTGAGATAGAATGAGAAACGTAAGTGGTATGCCCCGCTGTCTGTTGTTGGGACATTCACAACTTTCATAAAGCTGCGAAACCTGAAGGCTTTTGGAGTGATCGGAAGTTCCAGCTGCCAATCTTGTGTATTATGAAGATCGAATGACACATCTGGTTCCAACCAATATTGACTTGGCATATCAACAGCTTCACTCAGGATTCGCTTCAAGGTCCATACTGGAAACAAGTGCTTTCGGCTTTCCAACGTGGCCTGATCTTCACGTTCAACTTTTTCTTTCGCTTCAGCCTCACGAATGATTTTGTGACGCTCATCTAACTGAGCTTCACGTTCATTTCTTCTTTTCAGCTCGTGTTCATGAAGCTCTTCATCTTCACTATTGTAAACCATTGGTTCTTCATTGAACAACTTCACTTTGCGTTTAGAATCCGAAGCCACATTACCCTTCGGATCTTTGTCAGACTTCGGCTTGGGGTTTTCCTTCTGAGTTAACTTCACATTTTTCCCCCTTGTTTCGGAATTGAGCCTGACTTCGAAACACCCTGAATTTGGTTCAGCATTGCGAACACCGTCCGTAGCTTTTCAGATAAATGCTTCCTGATAGAGATCGTGATCATTGAATCACGAGTCTCAATGATGTCGGAGAGCAATCCGTTTGTATCTGCAACACAGCTCTTTATAACAGCTTTTTTGACAGAAGTTCGGTGATTTGTTTTTCAGCCTGCTCGAGCTTGACAATGAGAGCTTTCTCGTTTGATGTTGTCGCTGCGAGCTGATCCTTAAGACTATTGTCAGAAGCCAAGTCATCTTGAAGCTTTTGAATTGAAGATGAAATGGAGGAGTTTAGCTCATCGTTGTTATTTTGAATACCAGTGCGAACCGCTTCAAGTTTCGTTTTCTCCGTTTTAAAAGTTGATCCCAGGCTAGAGATAACTTCATTTGCCTTCATTGTGTTGCACTCAAAGGAGCTCTGAAATTTCTTCATGAACGCACGAGTATCATAAATTAGTTTATCTACTTTTTCGGTCGTTTTTTTGAACACAAAAGCAGAAGCATATACCGCCTTGGTCGTTTTGGCAAGGTTGGAGGAGTGCTCTTTCATAAGGGTCTCGAGGAGGGACTTCATCGTTGATTGTGAATAATCATCACTGGATGATACTTTAGAAGCTTGGAGAAACGAATCTAGTTTATCATTATTCTCCTTGAGTTGCCCTTTTGTGACTGGAGCTTCATCATCACTTTCAGTCCGAATGTTGAATGGACTGTAGGTGAATCCTACGAAGTCGTCTTCATCATCATCACCATAGATCGTATCCGAATCATCTTGGCGGAAAGGAGAGACTGGTGGAGTGGTATGACCAACTGTGAATCCTGAAGCACCTACAAACTCCAGTAATGCCTATGTTATGTAAGGATTTCGAAGATTGATTCAGGTCCTGAGAGATTAGAGGCGGAAGTTGCTTGGAATGAAGACATTTAATAGTGATTGGTTTGAACTCAGGAATTAAAGATTGATATTTGTCTGAGGTCTCATGAAGGGACGACAATGGTGAGACAGGTGTATCCGAATAACTGTGTTTCAGTATATCTCCCATGAACGTTAGGATTTGAAGTTCCTTCAGGGGACTAGTAATTGGATTTGGAAACTCTCTTCCGAGACCAGGTGCTTTGGACAAGGGATGACGAAAATTGTGAGTCATTCTTTCATTAGCTTCAAGAACATAAATCAAATTATGCAAAACATCAATTTTTGCATTAAGACATTTACTATCAGTAACCAAGATATTTCTTTCACTAAGATTAATTTCACATTTGTCATTCAAAATGGTACATTCACAACTAGGAATTTTGATGCTTTGTAACAACAACAATGATAACATTTGTGAACCAAAAATGTGAAAGCATGTATGATGCTTATTCAATAACAACAAACCTCCATCAAACACTTTATACAAGCACTGCAAATAGCCAACAAAGA